ATATGTGTGGGTACATAAGTAAGTGGGACACCAAAAATGTCACAAAGTGGGTCCCTAATTTATGGAATTACCCATTTCCATTTTGTATAAATATATCTCTTTTCTGCAAGTGTTTTTAAAAAATGTTTTCCTTCAGTATAATAGCCACCTGTTGTGAACTGAAGATGTCTTACTAACATGCATCTCCAATGAGTTTCAAGCAGATATAGAGAAGAGTAGTCAGTAGATTCAAGGGATTCACACTTCTGAAATGGGTTTTCCGAACTCCAAAATTTAAAAGAATCCTCAACGACTAATAAGTCTTGGACAAAACTTTGTCAATATACCTTCAAAAAAAAAAAAAATATATATATATATATATATACATATATATATATATATATAAACATGCATGTAAGTAGCTTGTACATTAAAGCATGTATCTAAATAACAACTGTTTGAGACGATGTATCATCTTCGCAATGCATCTTTTATTTAAAAATCTTTATACAAATCCTTTGGATACTCGAGACAAAAATAATGATAATGGTAATTTCGTCTCTTTCAGTTAAACAATTTTGCATGTGAGGCAAAAATTCACCCAATTTATTTCATTTATACAAAAAATTAACAACAACTATGTTTCCCGTAGACGTAAAGGTAAATATTTACACACAAAATATTTCTTGAAGTGCTTGTTTTGGGGCAAAATAAAGCAGTTTGTGGAGAAATAATGACCATCAAACAAAACATTTTTTAAAAAGCAAATTGATGTGAATTTCAAACCAGATATGCACATATTCACTAAAACCATATACAAAATAGGGTATCTATTAGCAAATTAGCGAGAATTGGCTCAAAGGGTATCACATGACACTCCACAATTTGTTATATAAGCACGGGTGTGTAATATAACAACTGTTTTTTGCACAGTAAAACGCATAGAAAAGTAAATAGGACTGTGTACCTGCACGTATTCAAGAGGGCCCGACTCCAAAAGAGCAAGAAATTAGATCACAAATACCCACAATTTTTTTATAACAAATATTGCATGCATTTTGTAGTTCTATCCAAACAAAAAAATTCCCTTGTGCCTTTATATTTCAACTTTGGCCTGCAGCCTCGCTGAAGTATAACATCACTTGGGAAATCCTGCATTTTTCGGTGCATATATTTTGTTATATTAAACGCTGAAGCATAAAATATTTGTGTTATAACTATAATGATTTACACCGGTAATCATAATACTTGAAAACTTTGATCTTTCTTACTATACAGGAAAGGATGGAAGAATAAATTGCGACAATATCAGGTTTACTAATAATATAGCGATAAATGATTTGCGACTTTATTTTATGTGTTTTAGTCACAACATCCTAACCCCAGTCTAAGTAATAGATAGATGATAATGGCACCTCCATTACATGTAGTTTGTACGATTATTATAAGATTAATACAGGTATATTGCATTGATCAACAGTAACTGACAGAGTTAAGCAATGATACGGTAAGCAATAAATGAATCAGACCATGAGCATTAAAGATAAACTTGAGTTCTGGTAAAAAAAGAAAATGAATTCTCACAGAATCTAACGAAACTTACACTGAATGTTCAAGATTACAAATAAATGTCATGTGCCAAACAATTTTGGAAGAAAATGTATACTGGCTGAGTAATGAGTATAGAAAGATAAGGAAATCAGGGTAGTACTAGCCCCGACACCATGTGTGTTGTCCCATATACATCTTTCTGTGTAAGTGATTGTTACTTTACCAAGACTCTGCCAAATTTATGATGATTTTGATGACTCCAGAACCTTGCATTACACACCATTACTTACATGCTATATGATCAACTTTTCTGATCCATTCCACACTTTTTCTTTCACAATGCAATCGCATTACCAGTACTCAAGTTTATATTTAAGGAACTTTACATATCTCGAACTAAGGAGACACGAACGAACGAACCATGAGCAGGGAATGCTTGAACCAGAACCGGCTCCTCCTGGTAAGGAGTTTGATTGTTTCCCGTATACATTTATATCAAAACTGATTAAAGTTGCATGCTGATCACTAAGCTTTGTTTAAAGTGCAATCCAACCCTGGTAATAAATTGATTTGTATGAAAGCAGAAAATAAACAGATTGGCAAAAGTTAGAAATAAATCAAACCAATAGTAAGAAAGTTATGAATGTTTGAAATATGCGATCACTACAGATTGGCAAAAGTTAGAAATAAATCAAACCAATAGTAAGAAAGTTATGAATGTTTGAAATATGCGATCACTACAGCTATGCAAATCTCAAAATGGCAGTTTGGTCAGTGGATTGTGAAGAAGGACGTGTATAACTCTCCCATTTGCCGTGTACAAAAATATCACTAATTCCTGCTTTTCTTGTAAGTTCCTTCTCCTTTGGGGCACTACTACAAATATATTATAGATAGCATAATATTATAGGTCCTCTAAAAAGAATAGACCCTCCTGAGCCATGATTTTTTGACATTTCTATATTTTAGTCATTTAATATGTTGGAACAGATGGGAAAGTAGTCCGGCACTACATCCCATTGACATTACCGACATTACAGCCGATTTGAAGTGCCGGTAGTGCTCACAACTTTCAAACTTCATAACTTTCTTATATCTAGTCAGATTTAATTGAAACTTTCATCAGTTTGCTTCTCTGATTTTGTTGCTTTCTTTTAGAGGAGATGTCTATTTGGGTAGGATTTCCCTTTAAATTCTTTTAAAATATATCATGAATATTACGCCAATGTAAACAGAAGCAGAGCAACACACAAACAAAAATAAATGAAAACAAATGCTTCACTTCAAGAACTGCTTTAAATTGAATTTGTGATTTTACTCTTTATCTAAGAAGCTCTTAATAGCTATTGAAGCTTGCCTAAAGCTTATCTGACACTTCAAAAGCTTATGTTGAATAAAGCTTGCTAATAAAAGAGGCCATGATCTTTTATTTAACATGTGTAAAATGTGAGGGGAATCAATCAAGAGGATTCCCAAATTCATTTAAAAAAAACATGTGTTTTCATTAGTGTAGTTTTTATATGCAGGTTGGACTGAACTTCAAGTGATAGGGTTACCACGATAGTAGATATTATAAAGTCAAGAAAACTATGGAGGGGGGAAAAGAACTACAAGTACCACATGATCTAATTATGAATGCCACATTAAAGGTAATACAAAGTTTTGGGAAATTTTGAAAATTGGGGGGAATCAGGATTCTTTACAATTTGGATTTATTTGGATGCCCCTATGGATGTATTATAAGCACTAGAAAATTTAGCTCCTAAAACACTTCTGCTTTCGAGAAAAATTGAATTAAAAAATTTACCAGTGCTCCTAGTAAATTTTGATAAATTTCAAATAGTGCCTACGGTTGTACAATGGTAGCTGCGACTATGAAAATCTCAGAATATGTAGTTGTGATGTATAATTTCCAAACAGGAATAGCTTATCCGTAGATTTTAGTCAAGAAACATTGTTTTAAAGCTTAATGAATATCTCGACCTTGAGAGGGAGCTATAAAACAAATAGTTTATTATTTACAATTTCATAACTTTAGACTCAATTTCAACCGTGACAACGATCGCTGAATATTGTAGGATCGCATATGCTTCCAATATGTTCTTTTGAACAAAATTCATGACCCCATACCAAAACTTTGTATTACCTTTTAAGTCATCTGAGAATCTACTTGTACACAGGATGAAGATTACAGATATTGAAAATGATATTTCATTCTTGTATGGAATCTTTTCCATGATAAGCATTTGATGTGAAGCTATTATACATTGCCTAAGTCTAATCGGAAGGCGTGATTGAGTTCATTCTACCACTGATACGAAACAATAAAAACAGAATGGTACGTGAGAGAGAAGGCAAAAAGGAGAAAATAACATAAAGGAAGTAAAATAATGAATAAATATTACAAAGTATTGTACAAGAAATGTACAAACAAGATGAAACTTCCCTTGCTACATGTTTAATAATAAACAAAGGAGCGTGAGAGTACATATTTTCTTGATATAGTTATCAATACTATATAGCAGCCTTTTTTCATTTTTACTACAAAATAAAAATGTGCTAAAGGATTACACATTCCAAAATATATAGAAAGAAAAAATTATAGTGCTTTGTTTCTTTTGAGGTATGTTTAACTTGTAAGCCTTAACTTGAATATCTAAGCTGTATTCCTTGAAACGCTTGCCAAGGGAATGTACTATTTTATTGAACTGTAATGGATTAAAAATTCAGAAAGTTTGTGTCACTATGTCCCCATTATACAACATGTGACTCCCTTTTCATCAAATGAATTTCATGAAGGAAAAAAAAAGAGCTATTTTTCTTCCATAGAAGCATGACAAAACAAGAGCAGCTGTAATAGCAAATATTATAAAACAATAATACTTTTTAGGAGCAAATATCATAGCTTCAAACTGCTTGGTCTTTCCTAATTCTCAATGATATGAGATATCTTCTACTATAATAAATGAATTATCTGATTTTAATACTTAGTAGAGCATAAAGCTAAAAAATGAATCCCATAGACTGTCACCAGTCTTAACAAATAAGACAGGAGATGAAAAGGTTGATCCTGACAATTTCTTCAACAAAAAAAATGTTTCAAATGTTTGAAAGTGATGCAAACATTAAGTGTGTAAAGCACATAGCCTATAGGGTAGTTATGAGTCGTGTTTCATAAAAGCTTGTTGTCAATAACAAGATGCAATAAGTCTTATAAGCTACTGAAATCATTGCATTTGATTGACTGTTGGCAAATTTGTTACTATACAAATAGTGAATGGTCATGAGTGCAATGGTACAAGATTTTGCACAAGGTGAAAGAGTTGAATGGAGCATCTCATCTTTCACCGAATGCAAAATATTGTTCCATTGCACGAATAAAGACCATTCACTATTTGTTTTATACAACACCTCAGACGTTAACGGGCTTAAAACAGTTTTCCTAGGCCTAAATCTCAGCAATATTTTGTTTGTTTTCAATTGATGAAATTGCTGATAGTGAGCGCGCACTATTAAGCAGGCAGCAAACCACGCGCGTACCATGCTCCGCGCGTACCAACCTTTATGTTAAATTGTTACGCGGAGTGCAATTTCGTTTGGTCCTTTCGCACCATTGCACTCTGACGTCACTTAGCTCACCATATACTTTGTACATCGTTAGTGACGTCAGAGTACAATGGTGCGAAAGGATCAAACGAAATTGCACTCCGCGTCAATGATGCCGTTCAATGGTACTTTTAGCGCATGTCATGTGATCAAGAATTGACCAATGAGGTTGCAAGAATCTTAGTAGGCGTTGTATAAAGTAATATGACACTTGTTATTGATGAAAAGTTTGATGAAACAGGGCCCTGATAGGATCGACTGGAAACACAAAAAATTTGTCGCATGTGACTTTTAGCAGTAGCCATTTTCACAGCAAGAAAATTGCAAAAATGTCCATGATGAAATTCAATCATTTTGTAGCATGAACCACTCACAATGGTTTCAAAGCATTCAGAAGTTTCTGGTTTCACAGAATGCCAACGTGTCCAACACATTGAATAGTCCTGTAAATATCTGTACTGCATGTAAATGAGACACGAGCAATGGACATAAGCTACCATAAAAGCACTTCAATGGCTGCCCTCAGGAAGGTCCTTACTGCCAATGACAATACATTGCCCTTGCGGGCAGGCAAAAATTGAGAGCGTAACCATGGTAATGAGTTTGATACACCATGAGGTACTCTGGGGAAGTGTAAGACCACAATCACAAGGTCATGAAGGGATACCTGCTACGACCTCCCTGTGGTGCATTGCTCTGCTCACGGGTGGCGCTAGCACCATTCTGCTGCTGCTGTTGGTTCGCACTGCTGCTGGTGTTGCGCCCTCTATGGGTGGGGTAGTCTTGTCTGGAATGCATTCCCCCCGTCATGCTGGGTACCAGGGCGGGGGAGGGGCCTCCGTCGCTACCCTTCAGCTCTTGGATGCACTTCCAGTTGTCAAGGTAGTTGGCTGATGGGGTAAACAGAGGAGATATAAATTACGCTCTTTGTTGGCATTGTTGGAGGGTGTAAAGAACTAAAGTTCACTGCCCTTTTTTTTCAGGCGATTACTGTCCTGATAATTAAGTCTGGTCCTGATAATCTGAGTCTGTTCCTGAAATTAGCCAAAACAACACTCAACTCACATTATTAATATGGTACCAGTTTTAGTTCTAATGGGCTTGAAGCATTCATTTGTGATATCTGTCCAATTATATGTTCTCTCACTCTATCACAGGTGTTAATGATGCAATGAGTCTTAATAAATAATAATAATAATAATAAATGGTGGCTTCTTATATAGCGCACATGTTCGTCACGTTGTGACGCTCCTGGCGCTGCCCCGATTATTACCCTGGCAGAAACAAGTTGAATCATTACTCTTCAACATAATGGTATTTTAAGATAATTTCTGCAAATCATCAAACAACATTGTGCATACTGTATGTATTTTCAAGGACCCATTTAGACAACTTTATGATCATAAAAGGCAAAAATCCTTTTTAACTTGATGAAAGATAACCATTTAGCTTGAACTATTTAAAATGTTAGAAATAACATACCAGTAATTTTGTATGTAAAACATTACATACCGCCATTATGAAACAGCTTCTTCGGAGCTCATTGGTAATTCAAAAGACATACTAACCTTTAAAGAGTCTGACAAATCCATCATCACTTGATGCAGCTAAGATAGTACCAGTCACATTCCAACTAACTCTCCATACCTGCAAGTACAATCATCAAAGACCTCTTTAATTTGGCAGCGTTTCATTTCTTTGATGGAGCCATTCACCACATAAAACATTATATATCTATTATTGCTAATAAAATACATTACATTCTTCTTCCTTTTTTTCTTTAGGTCATTCTACCTCTCATTCTCACACTTCCTCATCTTTTTTTTTCTTTTATCATTTTCTATAAAATGATTAAATCAGGAAAAAAAAAATGAAAATGTAGGTGAATCTCCCAATGCCTGAAGTCTCAACAAAGAAATCATTCAACACTATGGTTCAAATCAATATTTACTGTCTTTTCACAGCATGGTGTTAATTTGCAAGTTATCAACTTTCCTTCGCTCAGGCTAGTATACACACTTAATATATTTGAAACTTTCTCAATTCTATCAGGAAAAAAACATGGACAGAGAACCATATCAGTACAAGAGAGTGAAAAAACATAATTTCCTATTTTTCATCATTATCCACTGAAATACATTTTAAACTGGGAGTGCTTAGAATTAAAGGACAGATTGTCCTGAGCCCTAATCTATCATTTTCACCAAAGGATAATAGGGTAAGTAAATCAACAAACATTTTGATCTTCATTCAATTTTAACCAACCTCTATTCCCCAATTCTATGCCAAACTGTGACCTGGATTCCTCCTAGTTTACTAATTTAGTGAACATTTCACCTACAGTAGAAATAAGTTGCTTATCAATTTTAATCATCCTTATATATAAGTTTCACTGTTTGATTGGCAGGTGGAATGTGAAATGAACATATGCTTATCAATTTCTTGTTAATTTCGGAACTCTTGAAATTCTTTGTGAGTTAATTACATGAGGTGATTCAGATGTGTGTAGGTTTCATAATTCCTTGCAGTGTCCTTGGTGTGACCTTCTAAAGGTTGACAAACTTTGTCCTCTTCTCTCTCTCTCTCTGTCTCTGTCTCTCTCTCTGTCTCTCTCTCTGTCTCTGTCTCTCTCTCTCTCTGTCTCTCTCTGTCTTTGTCTCTGTCTCTGTCTCTCCCTCTCTCTCCCCCTGTTTCCCCTGGGCCCAAGCATAGCTGATCTTGTTTCATATACCTATAGAGAGTGCGTAAATATGCACCCTAATTTCTAGAAATATGAATGTAGAGGGTCACATTTCATATAAAATGCATGATACAATGAAGATTTAGGTACTTCTAACAGGTTGAATCTCAATGAGTCTCCAAGGTTTTGAATTAATTTTGCCCTTCTTTGTTGTTACCTGACTTTGTTTGAAGTCTACTAGTTGAGCTGCTTGTCTGATCTCAATTCTTGTTGAACCCACAAATTGGTCTCTCCTGCAAAATCACAAGGCACAATATCAATTCAAGACTTTTATTACATATGGATTGTGCTTTATGTTCTCACTGGAGAATTGATTATTTGTTTATTCATTTACATCTCTTTCTCTACTTTGCCTGTTTAGAGGACATTAATTGAGTTATGAAGTCATCTTCAATTTCTTTTTCCCCTCAATCAACAAGTGCCCTTGTACCTAAACTACTTACCGTATTTATTGCTATTTAACTACTATTAGCCTACAGGAAATGACACCTGCTACTAAGTTTAGTCACAAATGCTAAATTACTGTTATGATAATCAATGCTATTCAATTAAATCTTTATTTTTATTCTTAAGAAAATATTAAATATAAACACAGCATTATCATATATAAAAATACAAAACATTTACACAATACACATTTATAAGCAAAGGGGGGGGGGGTGTAGGGGTAAACAAAAGAGGGTCAATATTATGACAGTATGGTACATGTCCACTTTGACATATTGTAAAGGAAGAATATTCTTATTACAGTGAGTGAAAATTTTAAAAATATTGCTAATTCAAAGAAAATGCTGATTCATTCAACCTTAAGTGTAAAAAGTGCATATGGTACCTCATTGGTTTAAGTGTCATAATGCGGACATCCTTCGTTGCTACAGCTAACATGTGATATGATCTGCCTAGGTTAGGAGAGAAAGCTAGGTCATGTACTGCCTCGGTGATCACGTTCAGTGTGTCAATCTTCTGCCATTTTCTGTAAGTAAATACACCATTAATATCATAACTTTGGAATATCAATGAAAATATCATATTGAGGTAATTTAATATTTTAATCCCTTGGAGAAACATATCATAAAAATGTTTAAAAGAATCTGACATATTACAAAATATATATATTCTGATGTACATGATTCTAATTATTGAAGACACTACTTGGTAACACATTTTATGACTGAGATGTCATAAAAGCATTTGATTTGTATCTATTCTAAGGCCTATATGTTAACAACATTGGGGTATCTTTTAGTGGAGGTCAATCATCCAAATCAATTGTATATTTTTTTTCAAAGGAAATTAAAAAACATAATTTTATGTCTGCTAAAAAAAGGAAAGACTTTCTTCTTATTTAACATTCTAGAGAAAAGGAAAATCTCAAATGATACTTTCATACTACAAACCATATGGCTTTCAATGCCATACTATATCACATTCTCATGACAAAATCTCCCAATCGGTCTTTCATAAAAATAATATTTTCATGAATCAAAAACCGAATAGCTATTATAATTATCAGATTTGTCCCAACTTTCTAAGACTCACTTCTACAATTCTTCTGCTTTGAAAAAAGACAAATTGTTTCAAGGTGGAATTATCCTTTGAATATGTAACATCTTTTTATCCATTACAGGTAATAATCTTTTTCAATTTTGCCTTCAGCTCTGATTGAATATTGAGACTTAGAAACAATAATGAAATATTATCACACTGACCTTTCATTTTCTTTGTATTCATAGATTTGTACTTTGCCCCCTCCTGAAGGGTCAGAGCTGTCACTACCGATGGCAATCATGGGCGGATGGACTCTGACGAGAAAAATGACATAAAATACATATTTACATATTTGCCTATCTCAATATATGGTAAAGGATGTATAAAAGTATCAGTATACAGAAGAAAGAAAAAAATACTTACAAAACGATTTCATTCTTACACAAGAAGCAATGATAATCATGCAGTTGGTAATTAAAAAATCTCTTGTACATCATTGTCAATGAATTTGCCAATTGGTGTTATATTTTGAAGTGATTATCAGTTTTTAACCAGCATCATTTCCATATAAGCTCATGGAACTTTGTATAGAGCATGGAAATAATAATTGTGTTAATGATACAGTCCATAAATGCCTCCATGGAATTTTCACAAGGTATTTCAATTTCCTAGAGGGCAGCATCTCATGAAACAACCATAAGTGTGCTGGCATCCTACTATAACGTATGTTACCAAATCAAGACAAGCAAACTATCACCATTCAAAAGCAGTGAATCCTATTTACCTTACCAAATCAAGACAAGCAAACTATCACCATTCAAAAGCAGTGAATCCTATTTACCTTGATGGATTCCATGATAAACAGCTACAACTAAGTTTGGTCTGAAGTTCTGTCTGTAAGAATAAGAGAAATAATATCCAAAGTCATTTTCCTTCAAAATTCTCCATTCTCACAACACAAATTTTCCTTTCTCTCTTCTGATCACCCCCCCCCCCCCCCCCTCTTGGTTCCTCACTTCTTCCATTTTTTCTCCTTCATAGTTTAACCACACCAAAGATCATCTTGTTTCAGAGTAGGTAGTCATTCTAACTTCATTCCTATTAACCCTATTGATAATTATATTTCTTCTCCTTGCATCTCCCTCACATTTCATCAGTATCTTTAAATCTCTGACTGGATTCATGTATATAATTAAAAAGTTTTACAGAGTCTGCATTGCAAAAAGGTCAAGAAGCTCTCCATTACCTATAGTATATAAACAACACAATGCAAGAAAACAATGATTTGCAGGAAAAAAATGAAGTCTAAGGAATACCTGTAAATTCATTGTGGCTAAATTTGTTACTTCTGGTGCTTCATATATCCTCACAATACCATCTGCTGAACAGGTTGCCTGTAGATTGATACAAATACAGAAAGTCCATCCAATCACAAAAACCATTAAAAAGAAATATAATTAAACACATTTTATGCTATAATTGCACAATAAACACCATAGAATGACTAGATGTACCAACCCACCCCCTTATTTTCAATGGTCATTCTTTAAAAAAAAAAACTTGAACAATTTACATATTTGTATAAAAATAATAAAAACAACAACAACAATAACTAGACATAATACTTGTTTGGAACAAGTATAGGTGGGCTGGTCAACTAAAATTTGACACAAATAGAGCAAAAATAAGCGAGATACTGCTAAAAAACAATGTCATGTAGTTTAATGATGTGAACGAAATTCTACTTCCGTAGGCATAACACGCAACTTAAGAAAATTCTGATATGTACCCTTTAATCGTAATTTCCACTATGATAAAGTGATCAAAATGAAAAAATGGTGTTGCCTGAGCTTGTAGAAAATTGTCTCAGCTACATCATATCAACATTTGGAAGAAAATAGATCAATATTTACAGAGAGACAATCAATGTTACATAAATATGCTGACGTCATAATATGCAAATTCGTATTTTGAGTTCCAAGGCCATTATGATGATGTCACGATACACTTAATGGCCAAATGAGACATGGAATCATATTTCCGACTCATACTCTATCTAAATATGAAAAAACACTGAAGGTCACGGTTCATTCCAAAGAGCTATAATGGATTTTGTATAGGCATGTTTTTGCCCATATATGCTATGTAATACAAGAGCTCGCGCGCACGAACATTTATCTTGAATTGACGCTCATCTTGTTATTAATGGTCATAAAAAGATAAACATAGTATCAAATTCCTCAAAAAAATATGAGAAATATCATGAAAGAAAAAAAAATGGCGATTCTATGTTGTGTAATGATGTTACGCGCGAAAACGAGCGCGCATGCTCGTACGCGCGATTTTTTATAAAATGCTTAAAATGACCTGAAACGTATGCAAAATAAATTTGAGACGATTTTGAGCATTTTTAAATTTTGCACGCACACTGACGCGCGGATGAACGTGCACGCGCGCGTTTTTTTTTACCTGAAATTAACCGGACTGATATTGAACTTGATCATGATAAATATGAATTAGAAATACCATTTGGTTATGAAGATATGATCATGAGAAGATTTTCACAAAATTTCACAAAATGGCGCCTAGATGACGTCATCAGTCAAGGTCAAGGTTGAAAACCTTACCGTGTCTTGTCCATATGCCTATACATATGTGTGCCAAATATCAAAGCATTTGATTCAACCATTTCAAAGTTATCTTGCTAACAAAAAAGTGGGTCAAAATAAGAAAAATAAAGAATAATAAATAAATAAATAATAAAGGCAATTTTAACAAAAATATAAGGTGGTCTGTATTAGATACAGCCCACCTGATAAATAAAGGCAATTTTAACAAAAATATAAGGTGGTCTGTATTAGATACAGCCCACCTGATAATAAATAATAAATAAATAAATAATAAATAATAAAGGCGATTTTAACAAAAATATAAGGTGGTCTGTGTTAGATACAGCCCACCTGACTAGACATATAATACTTGTTTGGAACAAGTATAGGTGGGCTGGCCAACTAACATTTGAGACAAAATAGAGCAAAAATAAGCGACATACTGCTTACAAATTCTTAAAAGACAATATCATGTAGATTCATAACGTGAACTAAATTCACCTTCTATAGGCATAACACGCAAATTATGAAGTTTTTGACATGAGGCCTTTAATAAAAATTTTCACTATGATGACGTCATCAAAATGAAAAATGGTTGTTACTGCGCTTGTAGAGAATTGTCTTAGCTACAACATATCGAAATTTTGAAGAAAATTGATCAATATTTACAGAGATACAATCAATTTTACATAAATATGCTGACGTCATAATATGCAAATTCGTATTTCGAGTTCCAAGGCCATTGTGATGATGTCACGATACACTTAATGGCCAAATGAGACATGGAATCATATTTCCGACTCATACTTTATCTTAATATGAACAAAATTGAGGATCCCGGTGCATTCCAAAGAGCTATAACGGATTTTTATTAGGCATGTTTTTGCCCATATATGCTATGTATTAAAAGACCTCGCGCGCACTGACATTTATCTTGAATTTACGCTCATCTTGTTAATAATGGTCATAAAGAGATAAACATGGAATCAAATTCCTTGAAAAAATATGAGAAATATCATGAAAGAAAAAAAAATGGCGATTCTATGTTTTTTAATGGTGTTACGCGCGAAAACGCGCGCGCATGCTCGTACGCGCGATTTTTTATAAAATGCCTAAAATGACCTGAAACGTATGCAAAAAAAATTTGAGACGATTTTGAGCATTTAAAAATTTTGCGCGCGCATTGACGCGCGGACGTACGCACATGTGCGCGTTTTTTGACCTGAAATTGACCGGACTGATATTGACCTTGATCATGATAAATATGAATGAGAAATAACTTACCGTTATGAAATTATGATCATAAGTAAATTTTCAGAAAATTTCACAAAATGGCGCCTAGATGACGTCATCAGTCAAGGTCAAGGTTGAAAACCTTACTTTGTTTTGTCCATATGGCTATACATATGTGTGCTAAATATCAAATCATTTGATTGAGCCATTTTCAACTTATCTTGCTAACAAAAAAGTGGGTCGAAATAAGAAAAATAAACTAGATTTGTAATACTTGTTTGGAACAAGTATAGGTGGGCTGGTCCAACTAAAATTTAAGACAAAATGAGGAGCACATTTGAGATAGCTAATCGTCTCAGCTACAACACACTCAAAGTTCAGCTCAAACGAAGCTAAAACAACGGAGATTTTGCTCGCGAAAGACGGAAATGTAGAATCGAGTTTTGAGAAAAAGTCATGTCCCGTAGAGAATACACGCAAAAAGGGAAAAATGACATTCTTCCTTTAATCGCAAAAAAAGCCATGATTCCTTTGTCAAAATGAAAAATCTTGTATACTGCATTTGTATTGAATTGTCTTAGCTAGAACATATCGAAAGTTGAAAGAAAATCGATCAATATTTACAGAGATACAGTCAATTTTCCAGAAATATGCTGACGTCATAATATGCAAATTAAAATTTTGAGTTGGGAGGCCATTATGATGACGTCATGAGTTAATAGAGGGTCGGATGAGACATGAACTCATATTTTTAATCCATACCATAATATTGAAAAAAAATTGGGTTCACCTTGCATCCTAAAGCGCGACAATGGATTTTGTAAAGGCATGTTTTTGCCCATGTATGCTATGTATTACAAGAGCTCGCACGCACGGAAATTATCTTAAACGGACGCTCATTCCGTTATTAATGGTCAAAAAAAGATGAACAAGGTATCAAAATGCTTAAAATAATGTGCCAAATATGATGACAGAGAAAGTTTGGCGATTTTATGTTGGAAAATACCAGTACGCGCGAAAACGCGCGCGCATAAGTGCTCTCGCGCAATTTTTGAAAATGCTTAAAATGGCCTGAAACGTATGCAAAATTAATTTGAGACGATTTTGAGCATTTAAAAATTTTGCGCGCGCATTGACGCGCGGACGTACGCGCACGCGCGCGTTATTTGACCTGAAATTGACCGGACGGATATTGACCTCGATCATGATAAATATGAATGAGAAATAGCTTTTGGTTATGAAGATATGATCATGAGTTGATTTTCGTAAAATTTTACAAAATGGCGCCTAGATGACGTCATCAGTAAAGGACAATGTTGAAAACGTTATTGTGCTTTGTACATATGCCTTTACATATGTGTGCCAAATTTCAAGGCATTTGATTGAGCCATTTTCAAGTTATCTTGCTAACAAAAAAGTGGTTAGAAATAAGAAAAATATTTAATAATAATAATAAATAAATAAAGGCAATTCTAACGAAATTATAAGGTGGTCTGTACGATATACAGCCCACCTGATAAATAAATAAATAAATAATAATAAAGGCAATTTTAACAAAAATATAAGGTGGTCTGTATTAGATACAGCCCACCTGATAATAATATTGGATATTTTAAAGTGCATATATCCACCACCCAAGGTGCTCCAATATTACCCCGGCTCGGCTAGAATACTGTTTTCTGTGCTCACAGCATTTAAGGATTTCCTTCCTACCAGGTACCAATTACAAACCAGGGTAGAGAGTGGCAAATGTAGATTAATGTCTTGCCAAAAGACATTAGTGCCACAGCAGGACTCAAACCATGATCTATGCGATGCACAGTCCAACAATGTATCCACTGGACCACAACACCTCTTAATATATAACTTGCTTTTTGAAATTGAAACATGATAGTGGCATCAACAAAATTAATATTGCATTTTTGTAAAGATTATAGAAGCTATCACATTACATACATGTGTCTATGCACTTCCAAAGCACTTTGGAAATTATTACGCAACTAAAGCCCATTGCCTTGATATACAGTACATGTACATTGTGATATTCAAGGATTTTTATTTCTTCCTACTATTTAGTTCTCCCCGTAGAATAATAACACAACTAGTAACCCCCTAATCCACTCGACCACATCAACTCTATGTAGTTTCTCTATGACAGAGAGGTACTTACCAATTGAAGCCCGAGATGATGTGGTGCAAACTTGACATCTGAGACGGATGTTCTGCTGTCTACAAGCATGGCTCGCTGAGCCTGAAAAGATATGATGAGATAAGTCAGGTTTACATTCCTAGCTCTTGTGATCATATTTACCAAATGAACTTACCTACATGAACATGAATTCAATTACTCTGTTTACATCTACATACCTGCCAATATTTGAAAATAAGAATTAGGAATTTTTAGCATGGTATGCCTTCAAAAATAAGAAATCTCACTTGCAAGGCCAGTGAAACCGGCATTACGCGGTAAATCTGTACCAAAAAGCAAATACAAATTTGCTGCTCGATCATGCAGTCATTCAACGCACACAATATGTGAACTATCAAATCGCGGGACATGATAAACACTAGTTTAATTTGGCTTTAACACACACACACACACACAACAACAACAACAAAATATTTAAAAATATATGTTTAAAAAAGTAATTAAAAAAAAAAAAAAATCAAAAATTTGAAAAATTCCGGATTTTCAGGTCCTAGAAATCCAGAAAAACTAAATATTCCGGATTATTTGTAAGGGTTGGCAGGTATGCATCTACAGTGTACATCACATCTAAGTATGAAGTGCTTCATGTACACAATACTGACTCACCTCTAAAGGTTTTGAAAAATATGTGTTTTCAAATTGGTAAACCTCCCGTGGAATAAAAGTGTACATTACATTTATAACCGTGATAAATTTTCATTAAAAAGTAAATTCACTTTTCACTATAATTTTTTATTGAAGCAGTACATACCCAGTGGTGTTTTCCCCTCTCATTGGGCTTTGAATCTCCAACTGAAAATATGAAGTAGAGAAAATAACCAAATGAAATGAGTTAATATTAGAGCAAACATTGATATGCACCTTGATATGATGTACCTTTACTTATTTTACCAGAGAAAACCTTGTTTTGTTTCTAGAAGCCCTTAAATTTTGTTCCCATCAGTGATCTTTATAAAAATATTTATTCACATTCATTTCATTAAAACCCTTTTTCCCCTTCAGTTTTTATTAAATAAATATTTCCTGTGCCCTGTAGGGTTTCCTAATATAGCATAGCCAGAGCAATTCTAAGTATTCACATTTTCAGTTTTGTTGTCATTTTTTATATAGACTTTTATTTAAATTCAAGCATGGCTCAACGTCATCAGCATTCCAAGATCATGACACAATGACCCAACAATTTAACACTAATTAAAAACACTGACAATTCCTTTACATAAACAAATAATAATAATGTGATGCACTGCTACATGTATAAGGGTCAGGGAAATGAAGCATTTAGAAAGGCAACCATTTTGCTATACAAACAAGGCTTTCATACAACAGAACCTAAAGTTAATCTGTGTTTTGAATAATAAAAATCTACTTACCCATCTCCTCCCATACAACTGCAGTTCTATCAAAAGAACATGAGGCTAGGACCTGGCCAAACTCAGGATGGGCCCATGTTACTCTCCATACAGACCCACTGTGTGTCTGAAATATAGAGGATTTAAACATTTTTGTTTAAAGGTAGCTTGTCATAGTTCCACCTTGTTTATGTAAGTCTGAAGTAAGATCTGGGCCACCGAACAAGATTTCTATCATGATCAACTTTATTCCAATGATAGCCCATCTAAATGTATTTTGGTTTTAACACTATAAAACCAAATAGTAACAGACTAAAGCTACATCTTGCAATTGAAGATCTTCTTCTTCTTCTTCTACATACATGTACATGTTTCTATGATCACCCTGCATACAGTCTGTTGAGAGCCAGGAAGGCCATGTTCACGCCTCCAAAAAGATATGCTCAATGTGGATTGGCATTTGATGCATAAAGTTTCACAAATAATCAAGTTGCAGTGTTCAGAATGTATGTGTGCAAGACTTGTGACCAATCACTCAAAGTTTTCCCATATTCCACCTGTTTTAATTAAGTTACATTGGTTTCCAATAAGGCATAGAATTGAAATTTAAGATATATTTCTGTTTGTAGGTTTTGCCGATATCTACCTTGCACTGCATTACCCTATGATGCCTACGTATGTATATACATGTATCTTATCTTCAATTCATCTTCGTATTTCAGCAGTAGGAAGCCTTCTACATCCATTCAAAATTTTAAATTCTTCATATCAGTTTGCAATTGTTGTTTTATATTGCTTTACAAATACTATACATCATTGTTATCTTACTTAAACAAATAATTATTATTATTTAAAAAATAAAAAATGAAAAAAGTACATTCATGATTCATTACCTTCCAACTAGCTGTACAGTGCCACTCTCCATCCTCCCCAAGATCCCATACCTATATTCAAAATAAATACAAAAGAAGTCAGGATAATTCAAATTTGTGAAGTTGCAATCTCACACATAACTTCAATCACAAGAAAAAAATGAATGAAACCGATCTCCATTAGGGCTGCGACGAGTAGTCGAATGCTCGAGTACTCGCACTGTTGACAACTACTCAAGTAAGATTTCTCGTACTCGAATATTCGGCCGTTTCCCAGCTCAATCACTTTCAAACTCACCACTCAGAAACTGGGACCAAATGTCCGGCTTTCTGTTTGGACTCAGAGGAAAATGGATTATTCTGCCATCTTTGATTGTTAAAACAGCATTGTTTACTGTTATTATTATTATTAAATCGGCGCCTTCAACTGCAACTCGAAGTAAAACTGCGTGACTTTTCGAAGACGGACCTGGGATACTGCTCCAGTGGTATGGTGGTGGCAAAAAAAAAAATTTAAAAATGAATTTAATTTTTTTATTTTTCATTTTTTTAAAAATTTTTAAACATGGCATCCAAATATTCGAGTATTCGCTTGTACCTCATTACACGGTTGTGCACAGCCTTAATCTCTATTCTCCAAGCATTTGTGATCACAGGATATGTGAGATGAAAAGTTACAACTTTCCAAGTTATGAATAGTAAAGGGGCACATAGAGCCATGTAGCATCATAGCATTAATAAGATAAACAATAACTAAGAGATAAATTAGTGGGTGTTCTTTTTTCCTGCATATTGCATGAAAAGTCATCAGTTACGTCAGAAAATAATAATAACAGTAACACTCAGATTTTATATAGCCCTTATTAGAATCACTAAGAGCTTCCAAACTTGGAGATTATTACCCCAGCTTTAGCTGTGCTGCCATTGCGGCGCTCTAGCATTTCAAGGAATTAATTCCTGCCAGGTACCCATTTACATCACCTGGGTTGAGTGTGCCACTTAACAGGCTGTGGCAGATGAATTCTTTTCTGACATAACATGTCGTAAATTATGATCTCATTATCTTGTCAGCACTTTTAAGCTTCCGTATTTCATACATCATTTCTGTATCTGAAGTTCTGAACAGTGCCACCCAGAGCCAGTCTCTCTTAAACTTCATGAGGTCTAACCATAAATGGAACGGACCTCATACCCCCAATAGTGCTACGGACTACAGACATTTGACACACATCCTGCACATGTACAAAACAAAGTGATAAAAATAAAAATTACTGTTGAAACACTTCAATTTAAAAAAATGAGGATCAAAAATCATGTTAAGTACTGTAAATGAGTGTAATAAATCAGTTCTATAACACACTGACACAGTATTTGTAATTCGTAATTGTGAAGACAACTTAGACCAACAATCAAAATTATTTTTTTCAGACTTCAATCTTCTACCTGGTATTTCTTGTCATGAAATTCATCTCCATTGACTGTAAAATCATGCTGAATAAACGGTGTCCAGACAACTCGCCACAGAGACAACTCGCCCCAAGACAACTCGCCACAATACCCTGGACATCTCGCCACAATACCCTGGACAACTCGCCACGGTCGAGTTGTCCAGGGTGGGGTGCCTTTTCGGACAGCTCGCCACACTTTTTTCTCCTGATTTCTAGATCTAAAATCCCTCATCTTAGATGAAATTGTCATTTTTCATGATTTTCATGCTTTTATAAACACAGTTATTACAAAGAATAAAGAATAAAGCTGATTTCCCTTGCAACAATAATATATTTTCGACAAACCGAAGGCATACGATCGCCAGATATTAGGATAACTTCTCGGTATTTAGAGGTCTATAACAGCTGCATTTTTCTGACTCAGAAATATTTTAAAGTGGCACGTTCCCACCAGTGTAGTTATCGCTGCTCTAGTCATCGCCATCTTGGTTCCGAAAATCGATTTCTAATTTGCATACAGCTGTCAATCAAAGTACGCGCAGCCTGGCCTGCCTTCGCCAAGCCAGTTGATCGCTGACGATCGCGACGTCACGAAAGTGGGCGGAAACAGCAGCCGAATCTTAGAGCCGAACTGCGATTGGCATTACTTCGGCACATGTATGCGATAATCGGTATTGTCCGGGCATTCGGAACATGCCATCTGCGTAAGAGCCGTATTCTGTTGGTGTCAATGGGCAGCTAGCACCGTCCGTCAGCGGGTACGTATTTTGAACGCCCTCTGGAATGCGGGGAACATGCGTCTTTAATGGTAGGATACTGGAAGCAATGGCGTACTGATGGGGGGGGGGCAGTTGAACGCGAAATTAAATTGATATGTGGCTTATTTCTAGATTTTCTGGGTTAGTTTCGCACTTTTGACCACAGTCATAGGCGGCATTCTTGGTTGTGGGGGGGGGGGGGGGGGGAGACACTGTGCCCCAACTTTTTCAGGTTCCCCTAAAGTGCCCCCTTATCCTTTGTAGAGTAAAGGAGCCGGTAATCGGCCAGCTCCAGTTTTCGGCCGATTGGTTGGATGCAAGGTAAAATCACTCTAAAATACATCGCATAATAGCATAACACATATCCCACACATACCATACCATGCCAGTGTCACTGAAGAACCACATTTGCAATGGAAAATATATCCTAAAATATCACATTTTAGCGATGTAATCGCCGGTCCCGCTACCCAAATCTGAAAAATCGAGTATCTTACGCGTGTCTGTACCATAAAATGAGCTTTATTTCAAGTATTTTTCAGATTTAGAGCCCGATTTTGTGCTAGTCGCAAGCTCAAAAGTATCTCATCGCATGTATTAAATCAATGCAGCCGCACACCGCGACGCACACACGATATCTCTGTCTAATTCAGATTCCAACTTCCGATCACCGCTGTGCCTGTCTTCGGCCAGGCGAGCACCAGGGAGCTCCGGCGTGGGATACCTGCTCCGCCCGCTTGTGCTGTACATCAGCGCGGAAACGCACGGCGTTTCCTATTGACTTTGTACATGCGGCCGTAAACTGAAACGCTCGGCCGATAACTGGCTCCAAAACAGTGAAAATTGAAATGAATATTGTCATGGCAATTCGTGATTTTTTTCTGGGATTCTTTTTTTGTTTAAATAATAATAATATTTGCTTCATGATTTGAACAAGAAATGATAATAAATAGGAAGTAAAGAGTCCTAAAAATAGGATTTTGTCTTAAGTGGCCGAAAACGGGCTCCTTTACTCTACATGTCCTTTTCCCTTCAGATAATTTTCAATGGTAGGAATTTATATATTTTCATGGAAGAATACTCCCCATAACGTGCGTGTACGTACAATTACGTTGTATGAAGGCCACTTATTTTAACACTTACGTAACATTAGAAAATAGAGGTAGATCTACAGAGTTGAGAACGATGGACCCAGTCGGCAGAAGTCATTACCAGAAACTCAAGTAAAATTCATAAACGAAACTGGTAAATTTTAGAGTAAAGTACCCGGTTTTCGGCCACTTAAGACAAAATCCTATTTATTGGACTCTTTACTTCCTATTTATTATCATTTCTTGTTCAAATCATGAAGCAAATACTATTATTATTTAAACAAAAAAAGAATCCCCAAAAAAAATCACGAATTGCCATGACAATATTCATTTCAATTTTCACTGTTTTGGAGCCGGTTATCGGCCGAGCGTTTCAGTTTACGGCCGCATGTACAAAGTCAATAGGAAGCGCTCGCGCGCGCCGTGCGTTTGTGCGCTGATGTATAGCACAAGCGGGCGGAGCAGGTATCCCACGCCGGAGCTCCCGGGTGCCCGCCTGACCGAATACAGGCACAGCGGTGATCGGAAGTTGGAATCTGAATTAGACGGACATATCGTGTGTGCGTCGCGGTGTGCGGCTGCATTGATTTAATACATGCGATGAGATACTTTTGAGCTTGCGACCAGCACAAAATCGGGCTCTATATCTGAAAAATACTTGAAATAAAGCTCATTTTATGGTACCCATATTTCTTACATACACGCGTAAGAAACTCGATTTTTCAGATTTGGGTAGCGGGACCGCCGATTACATCGCTAAAATGTGATATTTTAGGATATATTTTTCATTGCAAATGTGGTTCTTCAGTGACACTGGCATGGTATGGTATGTGTGGGATATGTGTTATGCTATTATGCGATGTATTTTAAAGTGATTTTACCATGTATCCAACCAATTGGCCGAAAACCGGAGCTGACCGATTACCGGGTACTTTACTAGGGTGTCTGATCGCGCACCCGATGTTGTGTGCTAAAATTCTTCCCATAGAGATTACACGCATCCCTATGCAGCCTACGTGCATTGCGCGACCATGCAAAAAAAGTCAATTTTTTTTTTTCAAATCGAGATTCAAACCTTTATCAGTTGTGATCCTGAAGGTGATAATCAATGAATGAGGTGTCATATGAAAGAGCAGGTGAATTCCAATATTTCCAAAGGGGCGTAGCCCCCGAAATTCTAAAAATATCTTGGTCAAAACAGCAATTTAAACATTGTGTCCTGGCTAACTCTGAGGTTTGTCACTTTTGAGATATGACGCCCCGATCGATAAGTAGTCCCAGTCCTAAGGAACAATTCTATGTGATTATATTTTCGCTAGCCCCCAGGGATCACAACTGATAACAGTTTAAAAATACCCTTCTCGCTATTTGGTGGATCAGCTAATTAGGAGGCGTGCGCTCCGCTCAGTCCAAACCATGGTTACATCGCGTAACATCTCCGCGCACGAACGAAACCCCAAATTCTAGTGACTGAAATTATGGTTGGCAATTCCCTCGATAAACCCGGAAGTGAATACACGTTATAGTCAATGGCAATATCGCGGAGACAACGTGCGTTGTCTCCGCGATATTGCCATTGACTATAACGTGCATTCACTTCCGGGTTTATTGTGCGACGAACGCCAACCATACTAGTCAATCGCACATGTCGCGGAGACAGCGTAGCTCAAGCTGCAAGTCGCGGATTGGCTTAGCAGCATGCGTACGATATGCATACGCTTGCATATCGCGCGATACAGCTGTTTGGCTAAATTTAGCAAAACAACATCACTCTGCGTGGACGTCTTTTTCGTCGATTTTGACCAAAATGATATGAATATACCAGCGTGTTGGAGGGGCTGTAACTTTTGATAGAAACATCGGTGAGACTTGAAATTTGAAATGTATTATTCTGATAACATTTTTTATTCAAATATCAAACAAAAATGGTGAAAAACGATCCCAAATTGAAAATTGAAAAATCGTTCAGACACCCTAACTTTACTCTATTTGTTTGTTATTTTTCATCAATATTGAGTGGTTCATTTCTAGAGTCTATGTAGAATCTATGATAAAAGTTTAATACGGTAGCTGCAGCAGGTTTAAAAAAATATTGTGTGAATGTACTGCAGTACAGTGTTGCCTTTTTTACTACACAGCCAGGATAGTGATGCAGCTATGTGTGGCGCTGGCTGGCTCTGGCTACTGAAAACTCATATTCATATTCATAACGCATAAGTTAATATGTGGGACCATGCTTTCAGTTTTTATTCAAGTTTGAACTTCAAATATTGCATTACCTTTACACTCTGGTCACTAGAACATGTGGCCATTCGTTGTCCATAAAAGTCAAATGCAACATCATGGATTAAATCCTTGTGTTCTGCCGAAATACTCTTTGCCTTGAACATTTTGCTGGCACTTTAGTCGGTAAGGTCCGGATTTCCCCGCGATCGAGCTGATAATGAACAAATTGGCAACTTAATATGTCCTAAATTAATGATGAACACCAATTTTACAAAAATAATCACAGATTTAATCCATTATTTTAAAGCGATAATCAAAATGTTCGAAAAATTATTTTAGGGGAAGGTTTATAGAGGAATACACATAAATTAAATATATTGCAAATTGTTGTTTCACTATTGAAGCTTGGTCATCCAAATGACTCGTCCAAGATAAACTCAGTCAGATTATCTCAGCCCGAAAGACTGTGACCACACATGTTTACTTCTGTTTACATTATATAGGAGTTATAACGCCTATACCGAGATTTGTATTCACATCCTCCTTTCTCTCCCTCGCTCTCACTCTTATATTCTAGAAGCGGCGGGAATTGATGCATCATGCACTCCACAGTCTCCACTTTTGTTTTTAATTTAACAGTGACGAACACAACTTATTCCGCATGATTGATTGATTGATTTTTATTCGCCGCGGGGTGGGGGGGGGGGGGGGGGGGGGGGTTGCGAGCACTAACTAAAAAAATGGATCCGCATCTCGTTGTCAAAAAGTTAGAATCATCCTGTTTCTAAGATGTTTTGAGCGAGCGCAGCGAAGCCAAAACGTTTTCAAAATGTAATTTCGATATTTGAAAATATATATAAAATATTCGGGCATTTTGAGTTTGATGATATTCGACCACCTCGCTGTCAAATAGATATTCGGGCACCTCGGTGGCCAAATATGCCCGGGGAGGGGGAATAGCCTACTCATATTAGGTTTGGACGAGGTGTGCCGCTCAAGCCTCAAAACCCTATCAGGGGTCATTTGGGGGCATCATGTTCCCAAAAGTTTCGGGTGTTTAGGGATATTTTGTGTAAAAAAGTTACCCATTAGAGCGGCAAACCCCCATATGTTCTAATATCTGAGTACCCCCCCCCCCCCGGGCAAATATGGAGGTATATAGTTCGGGCACTCCGCTGCCTGAAATCATCATTTTTCTAAAAAAGGGTTTTGAACGAGCAAAGGAAAAAACACTAAATTGTCTTCAAAGATGTAATTTCCTCGTCGTGAAACTAAATGGCGAGTTCTAATATTTTTATTTTTACGAAATTTATGTTTATTTAAAAAAGTATCGAACAGTGGATCTTAAATTTCTTTCACGGCCGCACCCCTAGAAATGTTATTCTCGCGGCAGCCGATTGAACGCTGCCTATAAGTTATCATTTTCCCAAATATTTCATTGTTTGTTTATTTTCAAAATTTTCTGGGATTTCCGCCCATGCTGGCAATAAAGTCTGTCTTTCCTCTGTGTTTAAAGTATTTTGTTATGATAAATACTTCATGTACCTGTATCTTTAAAGCTTAAATGAGGGGGGGGGGGCTGGCGGGTTTGTGAGGCAAATGTTCATACTGGAAGGTAAATATCAATTAGAATGCAGCCAGTAAGATGTTCTGTTGTAATCATAACATTTTTTTTTTTTTTTAACTAACTTTTTTTAAAGAGCGTGGACTTTCTTTTTAATTTAAAGGTACTATGTCCATTTTGCAGCCAATATCAAATTATGTAGAACTGTGCAGGAATTATGAATATGTCATGTATGTCCTATCTGTGAAATTTAAACTTTAGCAGTGTCCTAATATTCAAATTATGCAAGGAAACCCGTTTATTTGCTAGACTTCACTGTAAGACACTATTGAGTGACTGACTTGCCTTTTTTCTTCTTTGGTAATTACAAACATAAAATGAGCTGTAAAGGGTACATCAGCAATTGTCTACATCAATAACCCACTCCTTGTGATGGCCCAAATTTAACTGATTGAATCTTTGCGCAGCATAAAACGTATGACCATTCGGTACAATGGTCTGAAAATCAAGACTATTACTTATTGGCTCTATAGCTCCTAAGTCGATTCGACAACTAGTAATAGTCGTTATTTTCCCACTTGAAGACATTTTCAAGCCCCACCTTTTTTAGGCTCAACCCCTTGACCCCCTGCCGAGGCTCATGCCATGGACCCAACGCCAATTTACGCTCTACGTCTACCTGATCGTTAATACTCCACTTTGAAAAACGTTCCACGGGGCCTGCATATAACGTGTAAGAGTGGTGGTTTATGCAGATTTTTCTTCTGCCCCCCCCCCCCCCCTTCCAAACGTTTTTGCTCATTACATCACTGCCCCTGGAAGGTGAGCCCCCTGGAATGTTCCCCCCCCCCCAATCCCAAACTGCTTCCGGCGCGCCTGCCCCGACGTGTTAAACATTATGCATGGCTCTATTCAATTTGTTGAATATCCAGTTCTGTATAGCTTGTGTTTAAATTTGTAGGACCTATGTCCTCGAAATTGAACAAAATTATTCGATTATCGATTTTCGGTATAATAAAACCATTTCAAAATAACTTCAAATGGTGGGGTTAAAAAAAATAGTTTAATTCTTTCCTCTGTTTTGTTCTTTCATTTTGTTATTTCTTCACCCTGTTTCTTCTTTACTTTTCATTTTCCCCATTTGTTTTTTTTTTTGGGGGGGGGAGGGAGGAGGGGAGGGGACAGGAACCCCCACCCCCAACCCACTAGTTGTCTTAGTCTTCGAGATGAAATTTGTCTGTACAAATTTTAGTGGGCTACTGCCTGCCTTGTTCCACGTTTTTTTTCATTTCTCTTTCACTTCCTTGACCTTAATTTAATCCTATTCCAATGATCCTTTCTCTTTTCCATTTCTATTATCGTTCTTTATATTGTTCCTTTCCATCTTGTATCTCTCTCATTTTATTTTCCTCTTCCACCCCCTTCCATTTTCTTTCCTATTCCAATCTTTACTTTGTCTTTCTTGGCTTCTTTTTTTCTTCATTTTCTCCCATTTCATTTATCTCCTTCCTCTTTCCTCATTTTCTCCTGGCCTTGTTTTGCCGATAGAGGTGGGGCATTAACCTACAGAAATTCTGAGTGGGGGTGTCAGACCTCACCCCTCAACCCCCCCCCCCCCCCACCCCCCTCTACCCCCTCGCCGCCCCGGCCTGCAGGTCAGACTTATTCCATGGGCCTATATTGAGAAGAAAATTGAGACCAAAGAGTAATGAAGTATCCCTGACTTAACAATTTCAAATAAAAGCCCGGGAAACTACAGAAAATGAAAAAAGCTTTCGTGTTGAGAATATGAAAAAGAGGAAGGGAGTGGCAGATTAACAAAATAATTGAAAAATTCCCCTCCATCCCCTCGATCTGAAACAGAGCCAACAAACCGACGTCGATGCCATATATGTCGAATTTGGAAGGGACGAGTCGAAATTGCTCCGTATGGTACATATATGTACCATATACACTGTACATGTATTTCGATTGTACGAGGTACTGGCTAGGCCTACTCGATCGAGCAAGCGACCTAGGTACCCAGTAGTACCCATCCCCGCGCCGCAACGTACCCGCTTCCGTGCCGGTGCAGTTACGTTGTTGTCCTTCATAGCGATGCTCTGTGCAAGCTCAGGTTACTCCACGATTTCAAGGCCACGTAGTTCTGGTTTAGTTTGGAGTTGCTGCTGTTTCAACTTTCCAAGATATAAATCTTAGATTAGACTGATACTCTTTGACTGTATTTGGCTGATTTGGGTAAGCGTAATAGTACGAATACAGTCTTTACAGACTCTAATCTAATTAATTAGAGTCTACTCTAGACTAAATTGTATTTGTACTTGTAGATCTAAGACAGATAGCATTTATGATCATTATTAGGCCAGGGCAATCCAAGTAGGCTAGTCTAGATCTAGGGTCTAGATTTCTATCTAACCTTCTTCTTCTTCTTCTTGGCTTGGCTTCCTCCAGTTTGGAGAACTGCAGTTGGCGCAGGTGTTGGTAGTACACATGTAGACTATACAAAGGATAGGCAGGTTTACAGTGGCATCACATACATGTTGAGTCTAATCTAGTGGAACGTTTAATGTGGAGGTCAAGTAATGGTATGAAACAGAGAGAGATTGTGAAAGAGTGAGGGGTTGATCCAGTCGGAAAGAGAGTTGCAAGAGCAGGAGCCAAGTAGCGATAGCTTTGTGAAGCATTCACCCTTCGTTTTCGGTTGGAATAATGGCTCTCCCAGCGTCTTGGCCAGTGAGCCATGTTAGATCTAGATCTAACCCTTCTCATTTTTATTATTAATTCAAAATCAGTATTAACTCAGCATATTTTGTAAAGTCATTAACATGCAGAAAGTGTTAACACCAAGAAGAAATTTAAGGCCTGGCCTAAACTATATAGACTAGAGATCTATAAGTTGACTTGTATGAAAGCAGAAAAATAGCAGAAACAGAATGGCATAATTTGGAGATGAATCATAATCAATGCCAATGAATGGTAAGCATTGGAAGGAAGTTATGAATGTTTGAAATATGAGATCACTAACTGAATAACACATTAAAGTGACTTGGTAACATTGTTGAAGGTTGATGAAAAAAATACCTAAATTTTTGTATAAAATGTTACTTACTATATTCCTTCTACTGTGCTAACCCTCTGACATGCAAAAAATCCTGAAAAAATTCTCAAACCACAAAGATATGGTTTTCTTTGAAGGAGTCGATGTGTAAGTGATTAACAGTAAATTCCCAAACCATTTTTGAATTTTCCCAATAGTTTTTCCATGAAAAAAAGACATAAAACAAGCTATAAAAAATCTTGTCAACACTTAAATGTCTAGAATGGAATGTAGAACCATTTTATTGCTTTGTGACGATTTCCATTCACCTAAAATGTAATTAAATTGTAATAATATAGTTGGGAAAATTAAGGAATTGATCAGTTTTTCTCAATTTGTACCATGAAAACTGCCGTTTTCACTCAAATTTTCAGATTATCTTTAATTGTACATCTAGCATTGAAGTCACTGCCTTAGCACCACTATCTCTCATCTGAACAATGTTACCAAGTCCCTTTAAACACTAACAGCAACTCTCTTGCAACGCCCCCACACATCTCCTAAATTTCCTAGGACTTTGTTCGGATTAAAGTTTTAACAATCAGTTAAGTTAACTAGATCCAGCTTTTAATCTCTCCTCTCTCTCTCTATCTGTTACTAATACTACTACCGTATTTGCCGGCGTAAAGGCCGCACCCCCGCATAGGCCGCACCCCCGATTTTGACATTTAAAAAAAAAAAAAAAAAAAAAAAAAAAAAAAAAAAAAAAAAAAAAAAAAAAAAAAATCATTTTTTTTGGTTTTGTTGTTGTTGTTTTGCTGCCAAAAACCCACGCGTGGAAGGACCTTCATTTAACATCGAGGTGCAGTTAAAGGCGCTGATTTGTGCTTGTAAACTTGTCACAAATAATAGTAACAATGTCGTTTTTAGAAGAATGTGTAAGATCATTAATGTGAATTAAAAACAATAAAGTACCTATGGTACCAGTGGTGTACCTTGTGGTACACCATTTGTTATGGAAAAAAATTTGAGGAACTATTATTATAAACTACATATTGAGATCTATTAGAAAGATTACTTTCAAACCAAGATGACAGTCAAATTTTAGTGTTGTTGTAGTTTCCGAGTGGTGAGTCAACACACTGATTACTGAGCTGGGAGACATTGCCAGGCATAGCGCCATAAATCGAAACTAAAAAAAAAACTAAAAAAAAAAAAATTACTCTTTCGCCGCATAGGCCGCACCCCGACTTTTTGATATACGCCGGCAAATACGGTAATTGTAATCATTTGATGGCAACTCGACTTACTTGCAATGCCCCATTCATTCATCAGAGAGAGGGGGGGGGGGGGAATAAAATTAAAAGCTAGATCTAATTAACTTAATTTAATTATTAAAACTTGAATCCTAACAAAATCCTAGGAAATTTAGGAAACTAGTGGGGTGTTGCAAGAAAGTTGAGTTGCAATCGATTGCAAATTTTGCAACTTGCACAATTGCAACTTTCTTGCAACGCCCCATAGTCTATGCGAATCTCAAATTGGTACATGTAGTTTGGTCAGTGGATTGTGATGTAGGAGTAGATAACTCTTCCATTTACCTAACTCCAGGGAGCTCCAGATCTTACCTAGGAAAACTATTCAAATACTGGGTTTAGTCATATTTTTTTTAATGTAAAGAAGTAGTAATTCAAATTTTGACTCTAATGTTTTTATACTTTTCTGGGCACTTGAAATTATAATTTGAAGATGTGTTCGATGGGAAAAAGGGTGATTTCTTGTCCTAAACCAATTCATCTACCGGTATGTTGTATATTGTCGATTCAACATGGCGAAGAGAAAGTATGCATGTGCGGTAGTGGCGCAGCAAATATGAAAATTCATGTATAGAGCGCTGTCGCTCGAAATTGCTGAATATGCATGATGTCGATAAGGGCTCTTTTTCTCTGAGTCATGCATATTCAGCAATTTCGAGCGAACGACATGTACAAAATTGATTGAGTCGACTTGTCTAACTTCAAAATCAGGGCATCGTTAAATGATACATAGATGCTATTTTTTGAATTGGCATATTTGTTATATCAAATCATGTATAAGTAACCATTTAGTATATATAAGCTATGCACTTCATTTACAAAGACTGAGTCGTCTAATTTATGTGTATGATATTTTAGCTTTAAAGGTACTATGTCCCATTTGTACTGTAGGCCAACAAAAAATGAAAAGGTTAAATTCCAATGGCATTTGAAGGTAATACTAATTTAGAACTTCCCTAAAAAAGGTGGGGCTTGAAAATGTCTTCAAGTGGGAAAATAACGACTATTAGTCATCAAATCGACTTAGGAGCTGTAGAGCCAATAAATAATAGTCTTGATTTTCAGACCATTGTACTGAACGGTCATACGTTTTATGCTGCACAAAGGTTCAATCAGTTTAATTTTGGCCATCACAAGAAGTGGGTTATTGATGTAGACAAAATGCTCATGTACCCTTTGCAGCTCATTTTATGTATGTTATTATCAAAGAAGAAAGAAAGCCAGTCAGTCACTCAATAGTGTCTGACAGTGAAGTCTAGCAAGTAAACAGGTTTCCTTGCATAATTTGAATATTAGGACACTGCTAACATTTAAATTTCACAGATGGGACATACATGTACATGACATATTCATAATTCCTGCAAAGTTCTACAGAATCTGAGGTTGCCTGCAAAGGGGACATAGTACCTTTAAAGGGCAATAGTAAGTTAATAGTATAGTAAGGAAGTTATGAATGTTTAAAATATGAGATCACTACGTCTATGCAAATCTCAAATTGGTAGTTTGGTCAGTGAATTGTGATGTACATGTAGGACATGGATAACTCTCCCATACGCTGTGTACAAAAATATCATTTATTTCTGTTTTTCTCGTAAGTTCCTTCTCCCTTGGGGCACTACTCAAAAAATATATTTGATAACATATTATTATTGGTCCTCTAAAAAGAATACCGGTAGACCCTCCTGTGCAATGATTTTTGACAAATTTAGATTCTAGTCGTTTTATATTTTGGAACAAATGGGAAAGTAGTCCGGTACTACCTCACATTGACATTACCGCTTCAGCCAATGGGAAGATTTGGGTGATGCTGCTTGTTGTTTGCTTGGGTTTTAAGGCAATTTAGTGTTCCGTGTGTGTGTGTGTGTGTGTGTGTGTATTGGGTTTTTACAGACGTGTATCACATATTTTATTTCTAAGATTGATTGGTATTGTTTGGAATCAATAAAAAAAAACCTATTCAAAAGAAGAAGAAAAAATCAATCAGATATGATTATTTACGTCTGTGGACCGACCTTTAACGTCACCATCTGAAAGACGTGACTCAGTTTCGAACCTGCGTCCTCGGCTGAATCAGGTTGTAACTTCCATTGTTAGCTGGTTTACAGGCACACCCCACAACGCCTGTGTTACATCCAGTGTTCCGTCTTTTAAAGGGTCAAATGTCATATTTTGATAGATGTCTTGTGTGCACTCTGGTGTGTGGTCTAACTGCATCATTTCTTGACAAATTTCTTTCAAGTTGAGTATGGAAGCTTATGTTTAAATCTATGCACCTATATTTTTGATGATGCTGCCACCAGTGTTCCATGATTTATAGGGTGAAAAGGTCATATTTCGCAGGATGGAACAAGTGAACTCTGCAGACCCCATTTCTTGATGAATTTCTTTCAAATTTTGTACAGAGATGTATCTTGGTACAATCTACATATCTTTATCGTTTGGTGATGCTGCCCTCATTGTTCCATTCTTTATAGGGTCAAATGTCATTTGTCCCTTTTCTGCACTCTTACTGCCACATTTCTTGAAGGATTTTTTTCAAATTTTGTATGGAGATGTATCTTGGTACAATCTACACTTTTTGGGCAATGCTGCCCTCATTGTTCCATCTTTTATATGGTCAAAGGTCATATATCTCTTATGCCCTCTAACTTTCTTTTAAATGTTGTATAGAGGTGTGAGTAAAATCTACACATCTTGAGTGTTTGATTATGCTGCCACATGTGTTTTTATAGGGTCAAAGGTCATATTTTGGTGGCTGTCTTTTGTGCGCTCTAGCTGCCACATTTCTTGACAGATTTCTTTCAAATTTTCTACAGAGATGCATTATACTCTAATCTACACACATATTGTTTTGGTGATGCTGCTCCTGGTCTTGACAATAGTCTGAGCTACTAGTCATCCTTTTGTTTCAGGGAGGAGAAAGGGGACTTTTTTGTCCCTCCTTCAAACATAAGGATGACACACAAATCGCTGCAACTGCCGGGAGATACCTTTGCATTGCGCGACAATACAGATTGTGATATTTCTAGTTTGTCTTGCCTTTGGTTCTTTACTTTTACCGCAAATACCGGAAGAATGCTGAGACAGTAGTCAAGCTTCCAGGTCTATCTTCTTGTACTCATTCTCTCAAAGGGATCCGGTAACTTTGTCTCGGATTCTGAAACAAAATCCTGGATTTAATAGCTCATGCTGCAATAATAATTATTAACATTTAGGTCAGTCAGGAACCCCATGACTTTTAATTTTACAAGCCGATCCGCCTGTTTGATTATCAAAATATTTATGATTGGAAATCAAAACCAAATTTTGCGTTTTCCTAACAGTTTTCATAACACTACAGTCTATTGGGGAAAACGAGTATGGTAAAAACAAAATTTTTTGAGGCACTTCTTGATCATTTTGAAGCGCAATTTTTTTTTAGGGCTTAAATATTACACCATATGACAGACACTGCTAACACGTAGGGCCGTGCATCTCAGATTTAACATTGATAATTGATGACTTTTTAATCATTCTCATTATATACAAGTCAGGGAGGCAGAGGGGCAAGAGGTAGCATCTTGACTGTACATGGTAGTATGATGTCCCAGGAGCAAAGAAATCAATACGAGTGTTGAGACTATATTCTAAAACTCATAACTTTCTAATTTTTCTTCTGATTTCATTTGAACTTTCACTGATTTTTGTGCTTTCTTCTAGAGTAGGTCGTTGTCAAGGTTGAATTTCCTTACAATGAAATAGTTTGTCTCATCTCGTTTCATTTCAGATGACCTTCTGATGTTCTGATGATTGTGTAAAGTCAGCTGCTGCAATGCCTCTGTACAGATTTCATGAGAACCATGGGGTGAACGTACGGCTTGGTGAAGATGGTGAAGCCGCCAAGCGTACCACCAGCTTTGCCAATGCCATCTCTTTCAGCGAGAAGCCTCTCCTACCCGGAGAGATATTTATGGTAGAGGTAGATGAGCAGGAATCTGGATGGAGCGGACATCTGAGATGTGGACTGACTCAACACTGTCCTTCCAAGATGGCAGCGCTTTCTCCCGGTGATGCCATTTCACCAGCCGAAGCAATAGGAGACGTGATACGCATTCCCCAGTACTCTATGCCAGATCTGACCAGCATGGGGAGATCATGGATCTTCGCCATCACAAAGCACCACAACAAGGTGCCACGAACAATACAGGACGACGACGAAGAGCAGATGGAGACGAGCTCCTTCATCCAGAACTGTGGCAATGCACTCCAGGTCGGTAATAAGATCCTGCCTCAATCCCTCCTCGTCAAAGACTTCTGTCACATAGACCTAGAATCGACTGGTCATACCCTCTTCAAGAATGGCAAACAGTTCTTGGCAACATCAATAGGTAGCAGAATCGGCATGACGTATGAGATACAGACTATATCGCCTACTGAACACAGAGTATTAATGCATCTCATTATCAATGGGGAAGATCAGGGCCCATCCCTAATGGACAATGCAGACTTGGAAAGCCCCTTTTATGCCATAGTGGATGTCTATGGAACTACAAAGCAAGTCAGAATTGTTCAGCTGAATTATGGTAGGTATTCCCTCCTCAGTGTAAAGATGCAGAGTAGTGGGTTTTCATCCCAGGGGTCTCAGTCATGTAAAAATACTGTAAGCATGCGTGACCACAGGTTTAAAAGTCAGCTATGAACGAATGGTTTTACATGATATATACGTGTTATATCCTGAATCATTTGGTATCATTTTTGTGTGGTATGTGTTCACGCTTGGATGAACAGGTGGCATTGTCAGGTGGCATTGTTTGCGAGTGTGCAAAAATCGACTTGCGCAAAAGTATTCAAGTGAGAGAATGAATTAATTGTATCAAATGAGATGCATTGCATATGCGTCACATGCACACATAGACGCGCACAAATGTTCTTTGATATTTGATATGTCTGTGGCATGATTAATTTTGTTAGGGATGTTATTTGGATCTGCAAAGACAGAATGAATACCCTAATTCCAATTGTTTTATTCAAACATCACATTTATTACTTTGGCACAAGTCAATTTTTGCACTCTCTTAAACAATGTCTCCTGTTCATCCAAGCTTGAACACATACCACACACAAATGATACCAAACGATTTGGGATAAAACGCTCTTTCATGAAATGTATAATAACTTACTGTTTATAGATGATATTTAAAATAATAGGCAATTTCCTGGGTGTAAACTTTTTTTGGACTCACACTGTATTTGGGTTGAATTTCCCTTTAAGATTGAAAAGTCAGTATTTTTTTAAACAGAATAGGAATATTTCACAAGGCAAAGACTGACAACCGGAGGATAAAAACCCATTTACTTTCTAGACTTCACTGTCGGACACTAATGAGTAACTGACTGACTTTTTTTTCTACTTTGGTAATAACATACATAAATTAGCTGTAAAGGGTACATGAGCATTGTCTACATCAATACCCCAATTCCAATGATTGAATCTTTGCGCAGCACAAAACGTATGACCATTCGGTACAAGGGTCTGAAAAATCAGACTATTACTTTAGTGATTGCAATCACTAAAGTCGATTCGACAACTAATGGTCGTTATTTTCCCACTAAAAGACATTTTCAAGCTCTTTTGTTTTTGAGTGAAATTATAAATTAGTATTATCTTTCAAATGCCGTTGAAATTTTTTGGCCTGTAAATGACATACAGTACCTTTAAAGGGTTGTGATGGAGCATAAAAAGACTAGAAATGGGTCATTTTGCATAGCCAATGTGTTGTGCATAGCAGTCGTTCCATAATTTGGTGCCTGTAGTTTTGTGCAAAATTGCATGTGGTGCAAACGAGCGACGGTGCATAAAGGCATAGAAAGCAACCAAAGTGTTAATACTTCTTATCGTCATTGTCTCTTCCTCTAGTTCCCACACTCCAGGAATGCTGTCGGATGAGAATACGAACCAGCATCAAGGAGAATCAAGTGGATAGATTGCCCCTTCCTGCAAAGCTCAGAAGGTTCCTAAGATTTGAATCAATGTAATGTGAATTCAGTGTCCAATGTCAAAGGTCAAACACAGTTCAGGCTTGCTGGCCATGAACTCGCTCCTGAAATATCCCCCCCCCCCCCCATATTTCAGAAATAGAGTAGTCTACTCCACTGCCTAGACTGTTATACGCCCGATCAGCCGAGTAAATAACACACCATCAACGCTAAAATGGAGACAGTCCTTTCATTCTTACCCTTAATGGGTGTATTTCTGGGGATCATGCGATCTGTGAAGGATGTGTTTTGGATGAAAGGAAAGGGGGAAATGATGATTGAAGAAAAAAGAATCTGGACTGGTCATAGACATGTAATTTACATAGATGAAGTCAAGCTGGATTGAAATACATGTAGCCTACATGGTATTATATGCCTATGAGGCATTGGTAAACAAAAGGTCCAACTTTGTTGGTAAACCTGAATTTACATGTAACCTAGAGAGTACAGATGATATGTGAGTAATGCTCCACTCTGCCTGAGCTGTGTTTTGCCTGTATAGTGAGAATCAGTTATGAACACTAAACATTTTTAAAGCAGCTTATATTCCCAACTATTTATAACAGCAAGAACTCATCAAATATTCTAATTTCCCTAAAAGTAATAATATATGTACATATGATCATATATAATGATATATTAATTAGATATATGTTGATAATATGCTGTCCTGTAATGCTGTAGCAAGCAACACAACCACACTAGTTTGTAGTGCCCAATGATTAGGTGGGCTTCGTTTTATTCCATTTGTGAAGCAAATCAAATACCATGCAATAGGCAGCACTTTGATATAGATAGATCTTGTGTTTCATGAATGTAGGTCTCCAAGTATTGAGCTTCTTTCTTACTGCCATGACCCGGATGACCCCTGAGAATCTTCTATAGGATGTGCCATGAAAAGTAAAACAGTGGTAGATGCAATTTGTTCATTGACCCTTTCATATTCGCCCTATTCTCCAATTATTCTTTCATATTACCGTAGCCCTTTTCTCCAATTATTCTCATCCAGGCAATAGTCTTATGTTAACTTTTCATCAGCTTTGGTCAAGTAATGAACTAAACATGATTGTCACAGTTGCCTTTTGTCACAAACATAGCCTACATGTACTGTATACTCCAAACATTGTGGCATTCCACGGTGTTGATTCATGATGAATAAAGTGTAAAACAAACAAACAAACAAACAAACAAACAAACACAGTGGGTAAACAACATGAACCTGTCACTAAGCACACAAAATGAATAAATGACAACATGAGGTGAGGTTTACCCAGGAGGACCAACTGCCACGTGTCATTCTTGGGATAACCTGTAGAGATCTCCAGCCCCCCCCCCCCCCCCCCCCCCCCCCGGCCCCCCACTCCAGGGTCAGAGGGATCGCATGCATGTTCCCAAAATGTCTGTTAAAGGGGTACTTTTCACGCACCAACGTCCGGCTTGTAGTACACACAAATCTGGCCCGTATTGACTTTACACACCGGACTTAGGGGGTGTTTTCAAAAGGAGGAAACATGCATATGCATACCCTAAATAACAACACTTAGTGGGGGGGGGCCGGGATCTCCCCTTTTTGATCCAGAGGACGGTTACAGCTACATGACTTGTTTGAGGGTACTACATCAACCGTGGAATTATCTATGTTCAAAGAATGCTAAGTTGTGTGACTGACTGGCTTGCTTAGTGAATGGCTTACTGTGTCAGTACATGAAGGAAAATGTACAATATTTGCTTTGCATTTGTTAGTAGCTATTTTTCAAGCGGTAATATCATAGTCACACCATGGATATAGTACAGTTCATGGTCACACTGCCAAATAGATGTACAGTAGACTCTATACTGACTCCAACCAGACAGATTTCTGGCTATTAATTGGACCGAGTTAAAGCCATTAGTTGTTCAGTTTATTTTCAGTTTGGAGTTGGTCTTGTTTTTTTGACTGGCATATGATTTTCAAATCCATGAAACTGATGAAATTCCTATTTTACATGGTTTAGGGCACTCCCATGCAATGTTTCCTATGTAATGTTATGCTTTTAGCACTTTTTTCATCCATAAATGACAATCCGTGATATGAGACCATTGACTGATTTGTCTTTCTAGTATTCTTCCAAATAGCCAACAGTCATATCAAGATATTCCATTGTTGGATGAGAATGAAATGAATGAACTTATGTAATATAACACGCATTGAGCAGATTCATCCTTTGAATCCCACGGTTGTGGGCGCCATTTTAATTTACGAGTAAACAAACCAAATGACCTCTAGAGGTCATTTGGTTTGTGCGTAAATTAAGATTGCGCCCATGCAAATTATGATGTGAGCGCACAGCGCAGCGCGCAGGCAGTGATGTCATCGTTTTCAGATGACATGGCCCAGTTAAATTTATTTACTCGTGCGCTCACATCATAATTTGCATATGGGCGCAATCTTAATTTACGCACAAACCACTGACCTCTAGGTCATTGGATTTGTTTACTCGTCAATTAAAATGGCGCCCATGTCTGCGCATGCGCACTGATGTAACCGTAAACTGGTGTATTAAGGGTTCGTTCAAGCAAATTGAACGCACCCATACATGAAGCTCTCGTATATATGAGACATGGACTATAGTCATAGCAGGTGCATGCCATAGGCTCTTGTGTTTGTTCTCATACAAATCCAATATGCAGTGTGTTTAACCAGTAAACTTATGTCTACATTTCAAATCAGTATTGCATTACGCATGTTGGTTTACACAACATGGCTCTTTATGCTTATCAAATAAGCACTTGAAAACTAAAGTATGCATATTAATCATGTGCAAACAAAGTACAATCCGTTATGACAGTGATACATCATCAGGAAATATGTGTGTATGGGCCAGCCAGGTATTATTGCAGTGTTAGTGTAAATAATCTTGGGGCAAAAAAAAAGACATTATATTTTTATGGGATAGAATAGAAATAGAAGATTTATTAAGTATGAATGATAGATTGAAATATTAATTTCTGATTGTTTATCATTTGGAATAAGAAATATTAGCATCTAATGAAACATGTTAAAGGTATTACAAAGTTTTGGTATGGGGTCATGAATTTGGTTCAAATGAACATATTGGAAACATACATTATATGTGATTTTACAATATTCAATGATTGTTGTTGCAGTTGAAATCAAGTTTAAAGCGATGAAATTGTAAATAACAAACTATTTATGTTATATAGCTCCCTCTCAAGACTGATATTACTTTAGCTTTAAAACAATGTTTCTTGACTACAATCAAACGATTTGCTATTCCCGTTTGGAAACTATATTTCAGAAGAAGAAAAAAATTGAAAAAACTGCATATTCTGAGATTTTCATGGTTGCAGTTGGATGGAATGGCTTTAGGTGCTATTTGAAATATTTGAACATTACCAGGATCATCAGTACATTTTTATTCATTCAATTTCTCATTAAGGGGCTAAATTTTTGGGTGCTTATAGTTTATTCACAGGGGCATCCAAATATGTCAATGTTAAAGAATTACTATCCATCCGATTTTCAAAATTCCCAAAACTTTGCATTACCTTTAATGATGTCATGTTATGTTATGTAATTTTATTTTATTTTATGTTATGTTATTTTATGTTATGTTATTTTATGTTATGTTATATTGATATTATTGCAGCTCATCAATCCTGTTTCATATTACCTAGATCATTTATTTACAAAACAATGCAAGCAGATTGAGGATTAGCATAATCAAACATCAAGAATAATTTTTTCTCTAAAAGCTCTTCTGATTTGTTCGCATTCATATAGTAAATTAAATTATTTGAATGTACATTAAATTGTTATATAGTACACCAGTACAATGTAAAAATTGCCATTATTTTGTGTCAAATGCAATGTACATGTATCTACTGATACATGTATTTTACAAACTTATTCGAAAGACCATATTAGAGAAGAAAATAATCCTCTAACAAATTAATGCACAACCAAAATATGGCCTAATTAAATTGATAAGATTACTAATTGGTTCAAAGATTATTTGTTATCATATAGTTTATTTACACTCAGATTTCTAAGCAAAAAAAGAAAGAATTTTTTAATCTTAATCCAAATTGAAAGAGATATGTCTCTTCGGCATCCCAAAGGTGAATTCAGAGGCTTGTCTATGTAATGTAGAGTTGTTGAGTGCTGATTAAGCATTGCTTTTATCTCTCTGATGATATTAACATTAGGTCATATCATCTGTTCAGAGCCAGGAGGGTGTTAGCTATGTGTTTATTGTATGAGTTAATGCCCTTCTGGTTCCAAACAGACGATATGCTCTGTGTACAGTGCTTATCTCATATTTCCTTTATGCCTCCACCCGACAAGGTGGTGCCTGGCATTATGTTTTCAGGGTTGTCCGTCCGTCCGTCCCGCTTCGTCGTTATCAAGATATCTCAAGAACCACTAGAGATAGAAGGCTCAAACTGTTTGTTTGTATCACCATAGGAACACGATCTGAGTAAATTTTTGGGTAGTAGGTCAAATGTCAAAGGTCACAGACACCAACTACTGACATTCAAACTATTAACCTTGTTATCGCAAGATCTCTAGAACCACTAGAGGTATGAGGCTCAAACATGGTGATGGTATGTATCCTAGGAAGCTGATATCAGATTTTGGTAAAAAGGTTTGAGAGGTCAATTTTTGAAATACATGTAAATGATGTAACAGGTTTTATGGTTGCAATTGTGATATCTCAAGAAACACTAGAGATATGGGATTCAAACTTGGTGATAGTATATATCATCATTGTAAGGCAATCTGATTAGATTTGGGGTAAAGTAGGTCAATGGTCAAAGGTCATAGAGATCAACTTTTCTGAAATTACATGTGTCTCATTCTATACCTTATAGACATAATGTAGATTTCGACCTCTACACTTTTGTAATGCCTTAACTTCTATTTATACTGAGTATATCATATTTCATCTATATTTTCCCCCTTGACTCCAGAAGCTAGCAACACTTAACACCTCGTGTTCAATTATGATTTCTTAATCCCTTGGCTAGGGATGTAGCACACTTTAATGAATGGTCATTTGTAACACCACCACCCCCCCCCCCCCCCTCTCCTCTTCCTTCCTTAAGGGATATTATTGATATATTTTACATTAAGATTATGTTATTAAAGCGTTTTTTCCCGTAATGTTTCCATCTGATTATTTAAAAACATTCTTGTTCAGTATTTGCATGAACGTATTCCTTGTTTCTTACATGTATCTGTTCATTATTGAGTTTGATTGTTTTCTAACTTCCCAAATTGCCAATCCACTGCGAAAAGAGAGAAGCACACTGTAGGATTACTGCTTTTTATGAGGGACTGACATATAGGCCATTCATCACAAATCATAACTTTACATCAAATATGGCAGCTACCACCCTATACAAAGATTTTTTGGAGAAAATTGTGTCCATGTGATTTCATTGACTGCTGTTTTATTTCAATCGCTGTTTACCGTAGTCATTATCAAATTTGGGTTTAGTTATAGGGTATATCTTATAAGCAAATTTCAAATGTTGAGAATTAAGTGTTTCAATCCATTGCTGCTTTACTGTACAATAGCACTAGTTTTGATTTCACCCTTTTTGCAAACCTTATTTTTCACAGTGTTTATCATTTGAGGTTCTGGTATCTTGTATTGTATGTGAAAATCAGTATTGATTATAATATCAAATGATTTTTTGAAAGAAGTTATCGAGTATTATTATTATGATTCGTGATTTCTTTTTAAATTGTAGATTCATTTTGATTAGGTTTTCTTTTCTTTATTTAATTTTATTATATACATGTATTACATGAATTTTCTCTAATTGTGCAATATTGTTTGAACTTTAATACATATGTTGTATGAAAAACGGTACAATGTGAGGCACATGGCATTGCTGCCAATTCATTTGGTAATATCAAAGTTATTCATGTATAATGAGTCTCTTTTTCTTTTTCAAACCTGATTCTTTAAGAAAAGCGAGCAAATATTCTTATACTATTTCGTGTTAATATTGGATTGCTGTTAGAGGGGCAACCACTGTTTAAAATTGAAAAGCTGATTCAAATCGAAGTTATGCAATGTGGCAAATGCATCATTATATATATTTCATATGTAAGAAGAATGGGAGGAAGGGAAATGGATGTTAGCAAAAGTCAGTGCTGTAACGATCCTCCTGTGAACATACATGTAGGCAAGTGAGAAATGGGATTAATTCATGTCCCATATATTTGTATTTGTGTACATGTATGCCCGTTATAGTGGATTGTTCAAACATGTAGGTTTTTTCTATTGCAATCATTCATTAATTTCATGAACATCTCAGTTTTCTTTTAGCAAGGTTTAAATTCAGTATACTGGTATATTTGTTTGTTTGAAGATTAGGAATTTTTTTGTCTGCTTACTTTGAGACATGTTGCATTTATCCTAACTTCTCATGAAATTGAATACTTTTTCTCAATATTTTTGTAATATGCATGATTGATTAAATCTACACAAGACCATAGACTGCATTTAATGACATTGGTCATTATTTGTTCTTATCGACACTTACAAAAATAAATTGTATGCAATATTGAATCGCATAAAGTGATATGCATGTGTGATTTAGATGAACCTAACGTGATAATTGAATTCAAATATCTGTAATGTTGAATCTTTATTTTTCTAAAAATGTCTTTGCATGTGGGACTGTCAATGAAATATTCTCTCAGCACTAAATATTTAGGGGGAAATGTAGATCTTGTTTGGCAAAAGAATAAGGAGTATTCTTCAAAATAAATATGTTGATTTGCAAACAATATGCTTGTCTGAAGGTGTATTGATTTTACGGGTTAGTGCATTTATTATTAAGCTCAGAAAGTCAAACTGTATAGTCTCCAAGTAGATCCCAATTGAAGTATGTGGTATGTGGTATCATGTGTAGACATTAATGTCTTTTAAAATTGCAGTGTGCACTGTGAAGTGTGTAGAAATGAAGTGTGTAGAAATGAAGTATGTAGAAATGAAGTGTGTAGCAAAATGAGGTGTGTAGAAGTAAAGTACGTAGCAGGATGAAGTGTGTAGAAGTAAAGTGTGTAAAAGTGAAGTGTGTAGAAGTAAAGTGTGTAAAAGTGAAGTATGGATAGTAAAGTGTGTACAAATAAAGTGTGTAGAAATGAAGCATGTAGAAGTATAGTGCATAAAATTGAAGTGTGTAGAAGTAAAGTGTTAAGAAATGAAGTATATAGAAATGAAGTATTGATAGTGATGTGTGTAAAAATAAAGTGTGTAGAACTGAAGTGTGTAAAAGTGAAGTGTGTAGAAGAATGAAGTGTGTAGAAGTAAAGTGTGTAGAACTGAAGTGTGTAGAAGTGAAGTGTGTAAAAGTAAAGTGTGTAGAACTGAAGTGTGTAAAAGTAAAGTGTGTAGAAGTGAAGTGTGTAGAAGTGAAGTGTGTAAAAGTGAAGTGTGTAGAAATGAAGAGTGTACAAGTGAAGTATGTAGCAGAATGAAGTGTGTAGGAGTAAAGTGTGTAAAAATGAAGTGTGTAGAAATGAAGTATGTACTGGAATGAAATGTGTAAGAATGAAGTATGTAGAAATGAAATATGTACAAGAATGAAGTATGTAGAAATGAAGTGTGTACAAGAATGAAGTGTGTACAAGAATGAAGTGTGTAGAAGTAAAGTGTGTAGAACTGAAGTGTATAAAAGTAAAAGTGTGTAGAAGTGAAGTGTGTAAAAATAAAGTATGTAGAAATGAAATATGTACAAGAATGAAGTGTGTAAAAGTGAAGTATGTAGAAATGAAATATGTACAAGAATGAAGTGTGTAAAAGTGAAGTGTGTAAAAGTGAAGTATGTACAAGAATGAAGTGTGTAGAAGTAAAGTGTGTAGAACTGAAGTGTATAAAAGTAAAAGTGTGTAGAAGTGAAGTGTGTAAAAAT